GAGAGAGGCCTATGTTCAATACGCTGGTGGGGCACCAGTAAAGGCTGATAGGTGACGATGAAAGCATTTTAGCCCTTCGTGACGAATTCCACTAGAATTAACCAAACCAGTTTCCAGAGGGAACCACGTGGAGGTCGACCTGATTGTATTGAATATACTGAGGTGTATTGCTAGCAATGGGTCAGTTACACCCCGTTACTAACAATTCCTTTCCCCCCAGCAGTGAAAAGTTAACGACTGTTGCGATGATTGTGATTATATATTTCTTGCAGTGGAACTTCTTTTTCTTTGAAATCATAGATAATCGTTTAGGGGAAAAAGTTATATCAAAAATTGAATAATTTCTTTGTATTTCAGATTATATCAGCTTATAACTAAAGAAAAATAAAAAACTTGTGTACAAATAAAAACTACTTCATTTGGACTGAAAGTAATTGAAATAAATTCATCGGAATCGGTTTAAAATTAGTCAAGTATCACGCAATATACCAGCTTGTATAAAAAAACCGAATTTATAATTTAATAGATAGCTCAATAGAAGCCCTTATTCATAAGCATGGTTCACATTTAATTTAATGTAATTTAAATACTAACATTGTATTAATAAATTTAAATATTGTACTACTTCAGTCCTGTGAGGGGGTCGCCCTTTTGGAGTCAAGTAGTGCTAGACTACCATAGAAATACAGAGAAACCTCCGATATGACTTACTGTATTACAAATTTACGCGTGTCCTTCAAACTACGAAGCGATTTCCGATTATTTTAAAATGGTCCAAATTAAAAATTTTGCAATGCATATGTTTAAGCTGGGTTTTATTTTTGAAATGTAATCTCACTGCTTTACTTACGTAAAATAGTACATAAAATATGTAAATAGTAAGTAAATATCCTATGTACTAAGTTAGGATATAACCAATTCTTGTAGCAAATTTTATTCAAATGCATTCAGTAGTTTGTGCATCAAACAGTAATAATGGATGTTCCATTAATCCATGCATACATTCTTCCTTCCTTATAAACTTTGGCATCCATAATTTATCTATTTTATATACTCTTATAAATATAATAAAAAGACTTTATATGAAATTATTTAATAAAATGTTTTTAAAATAATCACATGTTGTTCAATGGATTTAAATTTTCCATACAGTAAGTAAATTATTAAAGTTGCGACATCTACTAAATTTCATGTCTATGAGCATTTCAGTGCAAACAACTAGTGTCGTGCCATTTTGATTTATGATATTGCTTGATTGATTTATGATTGTACAACAAACAAACGTCACATTGTATCGCAGCACCATGTGCAATGTTTCGTATTTTGCTTACAATCAATCAAAATGTAGCTATTAATAAATTAATAGTGGCTTTATTTCTTTTTTTTTTTTATTCTCTCTGTATGGAATATTAGCGATGAGATCTGGTTTATAAAGTTTCTTTTTTTATAAATACAAGTCATGTTACTCGTACTGATAATGTAGTTTCTATAAATAAAAACAATTTTTAAATATTATATTTTTTCTGTTTATTTATTATGAACAAAAAATAAAATCTTATAATGTTCATTTAGAAGAATATTCGTAATTGTTAACGTTTTAGCGATAAGATCGTCCATTGTTTTCTCATTGTGATTATTTCTTGTAGTTGTTGTTTATTATAAGTTTATTATTGTAATCTTTTGGAGGAAACAATAAAGAGTATCTATCTATCTATCTGATAAGAGCAACAGTAGTCAAAACATTACTTTTTAGTATTTTTGACTGTTTCTGTGCAGACAAATGTCCGCATGTTTGCTCTGGCATCACACAAAATTAAATACTGCAACATATTGAATGTAATTTTTACAACTATATTACTTTATTATTATATATTCCTTTGTTATTATATTTTATATTATTTTGTGTTGTTATTTTTTTTACAACACAGGGAGCAAACGAGCTTGCGGTTCACCTGATGGTAAGTGACTACCGCCGCCCATGGTCACCCACAACACCAGCGGCATTGCAGGTGTGCTGCCGGCCTTTTAAAAGGAATATGCTCTTTTCTTGAAGGTTATGTTGTCGTATCGGTTCGGAAATACTGCTGCTGGCAGTTGATTCCAAAGAGTGGTTGTGCGTGGAAGAAAGTGCCTTGAAAAATGCACGGTGGAGGACCGCCATTCGTCCAGACGGTTGGGATGAAATTTAAGTTTATGGCGGGTTGTACGATGGTGAAAATCAGCAGCAGGTATCAATCCGAACAATTCTTCTGTTATATCATGATATGTCATCTAGAAGTGGTACCTACATTCAAAATCCACGCAAAATTGTAGTTTAAATCCTTAAAGGTTAATGCAAGATGGGAGATATATAAAATTATCTCCTACCGTTTAATTATGAGTACCATTCAATTAAGTTCAAGTTTATTTGTGTTCAAAGTATAATACTTATCTATTATATAATATATATGAGTAAATTTGTCCAGCAAGAATTCAAAGATTTAATAATTGAACAATAAAATAACGCGTTTACTTGCAATTTTCTACACAATAAGCGTTTAACTCGAACATTCCATCGCAACTGCCACAATTCTCGGGTTGTTACAAAATGCTCGTTTTCCCAATCTTTGTAGGAAATCGTCCACCCTCGCCGCGGCTAGCAACAAGTAACATATTATTGAAAACTGTTATACACCCAAATGGAATATTATGTTTATTTAAAAATGTTACTTAATATTAAATTAATAGGAGACAACTACTAACTACTGACAAAAACCCCTTTATAGGGAAGGCCTATGTCCATCAGCGGATAGGTAATGGCTAATATGATGATAATAATGAGAGGTAGACTATATAAAAGTCATCTGCATGGATACCTCTGTCCTACTCATGTTTCTTCTGTTTGAAGGTGAGGTATGAAAATTGAAAGCAGGGTATAGAGGTATAATACCATAGACTTCGGAAGTAACAATGTACGTCAGTTTTCATGAATATCATAACGTAATCTAAAAAACTCACTTCAAGTGGGCCGTCAGCTTGTTTATCAATCTATGTGTCATATAAAAAACAAAAAAACTAACGACGCACCTATTTTTCCGGTAAAATTTAATATATTTACGGATAAACGACTTTAATCGGGGCATACCTAGTGACTGATTGACATGGAGGTTTAAAAAACTCGCTGTATATGAAAAGAATTATATTATCTGTAACCCGCCGATGTAATTTGTACTAGTCCGTTAATTATTACATTCTCAAAGTGAGAGGTCTTTTAAACTTGGCGGGTTAAACAAAACAAATGCTATTATAATTCGTGAAATGTGGGCTTTTTAAATCCCCAGGATATAATAATTTCAGTCAGAATACCAGAAAAATAAAAATATGTTTAATTAACCATTAAAAAAATTTATATCAGGTAATTATCCCAGGGATAATAAACAGATACTTCCATCGCGACAATATTGCAAAAAGGATGATTAAAATCGATTCAGAATTGGTGAAGATATTGTGTCACACAAATAAACACACACAAAAGGAACATTCCTCTTTTAAGTTGGCTAACAAATGTTATTCTGAAATACCTTATAAGGAATAAATGATCTCATGTCAATTAGTACATTATCCTCATCTTATAGGGTGAGACCCATGCTCAACCATAGAACGTTAATGGGATATTAAGGTGAGAGCTTGAACGATCCAACTGGGAAGCGGCATACTGAAAATAATTAAGGATAGGCATATCTATAGGTGTATGATATTGAATATAGTGCATCTGACCCATTTAGTGATTAGGAACTAATCGTGACACATAATAACATAATTATTTATTTATTTAATAGTACATGTATGTATACAAGACGGACTTTATGATAAAAGATATACATTGTCATATAAAAAAGTCGTTTTCTTGTATACCTCTGTCCCATTCGTGTTTCAACCGTGAAGCAGTTGTGTTTTCATGGCTGTGTTTCTGTTTGAAGGGGGGTATCATGGGCGGAACAGTATACTCTGTTATGTCCATGTCATGTCTCTAGGCGACGGTTACCATTTTTCATCAGGTGAACCGTCTGCTTGTTTGCCATTCTAATTTGTATAAATAAAAGATATACATTATCTTTAACAGCTAGCGACAATATTTGTTAAATAGGTAGTAATAAAATAAAATAATTGCCGATAATCTTTACAAATATTATAAACTAGTTTTAAGCCACGGCCTTACCTGCTAAACCATCAATGTACTACAATGTACAATAATCATCCTTTCTTAGCTTCATCAACATCATATCAGCCTGTCATATCATCTCATAACTGTACACTGCTAAACATAAACCTCCCCCTGTGGAGTTTGCCTGTAATTGCCACGATCTTGGCAGGAGGATTGGCGACCACAGTTAGGCTTTGGTGATGTTTTCAGAGGGATGCTGCTGCCCATCCCTCGCTCTTCCTTAGTCGCCTCTTACAACACCGATGGAAAAAGAAGGGATTGTCTCTTCTATGCTGGGACGACACGGCGGTTCTTCCCAGTACATAGTATTTAATACCAAATTTTACGACAAACTTACTTTTAGAATTATAATATTGAACGAATGAATGAGTGAGTATATTTTATTTTCATTATACAATATAGAAAATAAGCAAGACAAAAAATATAACGGTACAATTGTATAAGTACAGTAAAGCGGTCTTATTGCTGAGAGCGATATAAAATTAATTTGTTCTTTGCTGGCACGTTAATCATTATCAAATTTGATATACACATACTACCTTCGTGAGACGAATAAATTGAAATTCTCGTAAGATCTAGTATATAAAAAACACTGATTAATAATGACAATGCAAATGATCTATCTACTTTTATATTAATATATCAATTATCATGTCAGTACTGCTTGATTCATAATTATTGATATTGAATAAGAAATATTAAATATTAAAAGAAATCAAAATGCAGTATAAGATACAAAGCTGTATAGACTAGATTCCTTTGCTTTCCACTGACAATTAGAAATGAAAAAAAAATATCAACGGAATGACGGTAGGCAATCTTCAAAAGTAATTCCAAATATAAATAGTATATTTACTAATTTAATTCTATTGTTTTTCCCGTTATAGTTGAAGTTTCATTATTATATTAATTACTTTCAATGAATACATTTGTTGAATTTATATTTGAAACAGAAAATATGACGCAGAATATAAAATGAAGCCATCACCTGAGGTAACTTTCATCAAAATAATATGTACCGCTCCATTCTATTCCGAACAATTCGAATAAGGCATTTAATTTCACTGCGTAATAAGAATACAAAAATATTAATTACGACGTAATAGGGCTATGGTACTTGCGTGTTGTTAATATTGTGATACAAAAGATATATTTTAATGGTTTTCCATTTTGTTCCTATTCCAAATATAACGTTATAAAGTGAGGGTATTACTATAAAGAAATATATTTTCAATACTTACAATGCATAAATAAATGTTTTGTTCTCCAATTTTTTTTACTTTTGGATGAAAATGCTATATAGTATTAGTTCTTTTGTGTCATATATTTTCGTAAAACAGAAATAGATAAATTAATCTTCTTTTTATAAAAGTGTAGAACAAATTCGCTGCCCACATCTGTCTGTTTCTCCACTTACTTTTTCTAAATGATGCAACAGAATTGAATACGGGTTTCACTGTCATTGTGATATTTTTACAGAAAGTTTCAAAGAATGTAAATGCAAACGCGTAAAATCGGGACTGGTCACTAGTAAAAATAAAAGTTAAAATGTAAACTAAATTCTTTGAAGGTCTATATTCAATTGAGCTTAATTCAATATAACATCCAATATAAGGTTTCACTAAAAATACAATAGTGGCGATTTCATTTTAATTAAAGTCTAAATTCATAAAAATGTGTGAAACGGACGTGTGACAATATTTGTGATTTAAAGCGATTGCTTTTATTCACAGTGAAATGCATCATTTAATTTTGCGTGCAAAAATATGTGGGTAGAATTCGTGAACAAATTTTTACGTCGAGTGTTTATGTTTACCGTAACTGTAATTTTTATTTTTTTGTGGCAAAAATGATACTTTTTATCTTGGTCAGCAATCATATCTCCGTCACGCGACGAAGTCGCGGGAATAATTAGTATTTTATATAATTCTATATTCGTTTGTTATGCCTAATAAAAATACTCTGTTATAAGTAATAGACCATCTACGATTACACTCTAATATTTTATTTTTATTAAACTCCTACTGCTGTATACTACGATTAAACGGCTTAATTTTTCAATTAAAAATTATTTATTAAGAAAATTAATTTATCCGAGAAACAATGGTATGCTTATTCATAAAGAAACGCAATTAATTCTCTGTCTGTTTTGGTTGTGACTTCTTAATGAAACTTTATTATACTCTTATAATTACATATTTATAAACTAACATAACTGTATTATATTATTTTTTATTATATGTATATTAAATAAAGTAAAATTTAATTTTACTTTATTTAATATACATATAATTTATTAAATTATAATACAATACATAATTATACAGTTAAGAATGATGTATCGCAATTGGTGACATGTATAGTAAATTAAAATTTATATACAGAATGAAATTAAATATAATAATATTATAAATCTTACTTAATGAATTATTATGTACTAATGAAACTAAACATTTGTCCCAAATATAGGGCGAAATTTGAGATTTTTTTAAAAGTTTTCATAATAACTTGACAGCTGACAACTGGCAACATGCTGTGTTTGTACTATTATTTTTTCGACTCTTGCTTGGTTGATAAAAATGTCCGCTTTCATTGATAGAACACTCCCTTAATATAATGTTAACAACTTTAATTTCATAGTATAAAATATTTTAAACAACATTATCGCAATAAAATAAATTTAAAATGCGTATTTGAACAATGCGGTAGAGTAATTTTTTAACTGTTAAACAGGTTATTCTCTAGTATGTACCTAATGTTGCTCGGTCGCCAACGTAGCCAGCACTTAGTAGGTAATGCGGTTGGCCAGAGAACACGTTTTCGCTTTTTGCTAAGTCTATCCCAGACGTGGAATGTCAGAATCGTGTCAATGGAACCTTTTCGTCACAGTTTGGCAAATACGATTTTCCTTGACATTTTAGATCAAATAGCACGAAACTATTGGAAGTCTATTAGATCTACTTATGATAGTAGAGTAAAATAGAATAAAAATCCAGCGTTTGTACGTGTAGGTCAATCTTAATAATTGACTTTACTTTCTTATTTAATAATAAATTGATTAATAATTAAAAATAAATAAATGTAAATAATCTAATTAAGTTGTAACTAAGCGATGTTTATGCATATAAGATATTAAAGAAAAATTTATGTAAAGCATATTAGTAGGAGCAAAAAGCCAAAATAATGACTTTTAGAGTTTTTGTATATCTGTCTCCATGCTAGTATTTATATTGATTAGTTTTTTTATTAACAAAATAATTTTTATAATATAATTTTTCTGTTATCATTTGAATAAATTAAAATTTTTTTTCAGGTCTGTTGTATTATATGCCAATTAGTTTTTTGCTGTTCCAAATGTCGATGGAATCACGAGAAAATCGCACATAACCTTTTATTTGATTGCTCAATTTGCCGTGGTAGTAGATTTCTTTGCAAACCAAACGAATTAGAAGAATTTTTTTTGTGTCATTTATGTAAAGAACATTTACCCCTACAGTGTAAAAAGTGTAATAAGATTTTTAATAAAATGGAAGACTTCTTAAACATAGATGAATGTATCACTATTTCAGAACTACTGAATTTAGAACAAAATGTCAGTAAATATCAATCATCATTTGATGTTGATAAGAAATTTGATTCATTATATGAGAAAACAAGAAACAACAATGAATGTGATAATTTTGAAGGTATAATATCACTAAATAAATCCAGCAAAACTGCTGTAATAACACCCATCATTAGAAAAAAACATCTAGTTGATTACGAATGTAGTGAAAGTGAATCTGAAGATCCTAAAAATGAGAGTGAAGGAACACCTTATCCTAAATTAGTACCTAAAACTCCTAGACTGAAACGGCAAAGAGCGGCTACGCCTCATACAAAAAAAGTTCTTACTTTATTAAGACAAAACGTTGTAGAAGAATATGATGAAACTAGTGAAAATGTTGATTATAATGGCTCCGCTTCAACAAATAAAACTACGCCATCAAGAAATGAAAACATTGATATTAGTAGGTTTTTTGTTAGTATTTCATTTTCAAACAAATTTATATTTAACAACAGTTCGTTAATTATATGTATTCATTGATAATAGCCAAATTACCTATTATTATTCAAATATATTTTACTTTGTTATATGTGTATTCTATGTACTTTTGTGTACAAATGTAATATTTGCAAGTAATGAATACAATAATAGTTTCAGAGCCTCAAAAAGAAATGACTACACCAACTTCTCACTTGCAACCTAATATTTTGAAATTAGTACAAACAGTTACTACAAGTACCCCGACACATCCTGTTTCTAATGGATGGTCCATATTTCCTGAACAAGGCGCTGATTCTCCACTCTCTGAAATTGAGACTGCTGACAGTCCAGCCCAAAGTATTACTAACGAGGTATTTTATTTTTATCTGTAATTATCATAAACATCATAGGTCTAGTAATATTTACATACTTTTATTTAACTTGCAATGTTTGTAAGTTAGTTTAGGTCAAATCTGTCCATCTAAATTTAAATTAGTTCTTTCTAAACGATTGTACTGAAATTTTGCATAGCACCTTTAGTACTGATGTTAATATAACGCCCAATACTCAATATTGTAATATTTTCAAAATTGTGGACAGTAGATATTTTATTGACCCTTTTAATATCTTATTTATTTTCATTCTTTGGTATCAAATAATATGGCTTTAATAGCTTCTAAATGACTTGTTCACTATATGTACATTCCTTTCCTATAAGAAAAGGGTATTAAGACTAAGTTCTGTAGGATTCCTGTATATGATTGTATTTCGAGTTACTTCATTTTTTTTAACTCCTACGTATAACGCCTTACTCGTTTCTTAAAATATCCTGAGGACGAAAAAGAGTAATTATACTATTAGTTCGTTTTACGGAGAATCTAATATATTTCTTGAAAGCGTCGTATTATTTTCTATATTTATTACTATTTTCGTATATTTTTTGATTCAATAGCCATCAAAGACAGAAACAGATAGTGTGCCTCCGAAATTAAAGAGTATTATTGTCACTGGTAGTCGAATACGTATTGGGAGTCAAGATAGCTCAGAAAAGCATGTTACGTTCCAAGAATCTACAAATAATACAGAAATATCTTCTGCGAAAACAAAAAAAGTACAATTTGCTGAAGATACAGTTTTTGAACCACAACCAAAGATAAATCGAGGTGAGTATACTGAGCTTTTAGATGCTTCTGTGTCAATTATAAAACAAATAGGTATTGTTTAATGTATCGATATTGTGTTATTTCTTGGCAACCGGTTTAATATAGAAGTTCTAATATCTTTTTTGGTTATTTTGTAAGTGTATAAGATATCTCTATTCTCGTAGTTTTTTTTTTTATTTAGTCGTATGTACTGCTCATATCATGTCTATAGATGCCAGTAATGTTTTTCCATCATGTAGGCCGTTATAGCAAACAAATTGACGCGTTAATTTGTTTGCTATTTTAAATTACAAAAACGTAATATCAGCAGTTCGTTAAAAATAGAAGTACAGAAATGGACATAAATAAATTCTATTTCTTTTATAAATAGTCTATTTAATAGCAATTTAAATGTTATTAATAATGGTAATATTTTATTTTATTTTCATTTATTGTTTTCAATGCAATAATATTAGACGTCGTTAATTCGATACTTTTAAATTTGAAATTTTGTTTCAATTTAAATTTCCAGTTGATTACCTCCATGGAAATAAATGTTATAAATGAACTTAATTTGCTAACAAATAAATTTTGATTGATTAATTTATAATATTTATTTTTTGCAACAGTAACAATGAAAAAAACCCTCTTTCACATTTTTTATAATAATTACGTTTATTAAAGATATTTACTATATTTTTACAAGTAAATTTCATGACATAATAATTTATGACTTATATATAATATTTTATTATTCTTGAAATAAAAGTAAATAATACAAATTGTGATTTCATATTTTTCAGTATATCGAAAACCGAAGCGCATGCTTACTCCAGGACCGCAGAAGCCTAAATTCTGTCATAATCCTAGATTTCAAGCACTTATCAATCGATTTGAAAATAAAGGGATTACGTACGCAAGGACTCCTGTACAACCCACCAAAGAAAAACCCCTTGAAAGTACACCACCGGTCGGAGATCATACGAACATGTTAGCACGCGCTATAAATTTTAAAGAAGATAGTCCCGTGGTTGATCAAGATAATTTATCAAAGGAATCAAATGAATTATTTAAAACTTGTCACGATTCACCCGTACAAACCAATATCAATAATGCTATAACAACACTCACGGCCAATATTGCATGTACTCTGCAAAACTGTCTCACTACCGCTTTGAAGACTAATGAAGATGAAACAGAGATACAATTTAAATTTGTTATTACAAAGAAAAAAGTTAGCGTTAAAAGAATCGTTGATGATGTTGATGGAGTTGTTGAAAGATCGAGTGAAATTGAAAGAAATTCAAGCCCGAATAAAGAAAATATCTGGTCAACTGTGGCAAAAGCAGTGAAGAATGTTTTCTGGGGAGACCAAGGCTCCAATTTAGGTGCGTGTGTTTTATTACCCACTTTCATAAATGAGGTAAAGTTATTCAGATACATTATATACAGCAAATTGTATAACGTACCTTAATGATGTAATCAATTACGACTTTTTGTTTTGATTTTTTTCCGTATATTTGTACTTGCTGTATTAATTTATTTGATTTCTTGTTTGGGTATAATTAATTATGCGCATTCTAATATTTTGCTGATCATTATTATTTTGTTTACAGACATCAATGGAAAAGTAAAATTTTGATAAGAATACTATATAAATATAATTATGTATATTTTTACGATTCTGTATAATTTATGTTCCTTCGTTTATCACGGATTTATATATTTTCCTTAAACTAGATAAAATAAGGTTATCTAATTCGTACATCTATATATAAAAAATAGTAAACTGTTGATGAATGAGAAATGCCTTTAGTATCTATTTATAGGGATAGGTGTTAAGCAATTTCTGCTACTGATTATTATTAATTACGCTTTTGCTCAAAAGAATTCATTAGTAAAACTATTAATGAAGTGTATTTTTGCCATTTTTCTTACCCTTATGTTACGTTAGCTATTTCTAGAACTATTCCAAAAATCTCTCCATAAGACATAGTACATTCAATATACTATAGAGATTTTTGTCCACTGAGCAAAAGAGTCTGCGACATGTGTATAGACATGAGCTATATTAATTATAACGTACTTTTATATAATTATGTTACAAATGTTATATACAAACAGTCATTACTGTAACATGTCTAAACGAATAATTATGTAAACCTAATTATCTTACGTTTACAGTTCAGAGGGTGAAATGTTTACCTAATGTGGTCTAGACTGCTAGTCTAAACAATTACATTTTTCAACTTTATTTTTGAATACCAGAGGGAGATTTTGTTAATAAATCTTTTGTATGAGTAGCTGTGATCTATTCGTGTTTCTACTGTCAAACAGCTGTGCATACAATGCGGTGGCTGTGATTTGTTTTGAAAATATGTTTATTAAATTATCGTCTAAAATACCACAAATATCACGGTATTCTGTGACAGCCATAGTTTTTTGTTATTCGTTATTATCATCATATCAAATCTTTAACTGTCCACTGCTGAACATTGATGTCATGATTTGCAGGCGGATTGGCAACCGCAATTAGGCTTTGGAGATGTTTACTATCTCTCGCTCTCCCTTAGTCATCTCTTACGATACCCACGGAAAAAGAAGGGTTGGCCTGTTCTACGCCGAACCACACGGGAATTCGTTTTTATAAATAATAAAAAATATCATTTGCTTTCAAGGCACTTTCTGTCATTACTATGATATAATGATCGTGTTAATTCCCATCTCTTATAAGATATAAAATACGCAGCGCGAATGTTTAAAAGTATATTAAAATGAGATTCATCACAAATACTTTAACCCACTCGCAGTATTATTATAGAAATTATACCATTTCAGTCATCGTAGTCGTTCTTTTCAGTAGTCTTATAAAATTTAAATTTTGTAAACAGTCAACTACATTTTAACGTTTGCAAATTTAAGATTATTTTCTAGAGGGGGCGTGATCTTTTAAAATAGGCACATATGCACTCCCTGACCTGTCTTAACTTATGGCTGAAAGCTTCTACTCCTTATTCTGAGGCGGGGACGACCCACCAGACCCTCGACTTAAAACGCCTAATGCATACAATATAAAATAACCAACATATGATCAACCATATTCTCAAAATGAGCGTTAGATAACAACTAAACGTAGAATTAAGTTTAATAAGGAGCGTATCTTCCATACGGTGAGAGACCGCGCATTCCCGGCCTCCTGTCATCAAATCTTCATACATAGAGTTCATAGCTCCCATGCTGTTTCTCATGGGGGCAAGCTGGGCATCAGCGGCATGTGCTCGTAGCGCAACGCCGGCGATACGAAGTTCGTTCGGGGCCGTCTCTGACCCCTAGAAAGCATCCACTGTGTATCTTCGCTCGAATATGTTCCTCGGGGAATCAAAACGTGAACGATTATATATATTAGATCCCCAAATCCTCCCATCATGCGATAGCGGAGGAACGGCAGTGGCAGCGGCGGCGGAGGATAAGGGTCACGGCCAAACGCGCGATCACAAAAACCGTTGCAGTCAAGGCCCGCCATCTTGGGGCACTCCTTGGACCAGTGACCGCCGCAACCACATCGATAGGCCGACCATTGCCAGACGCGGCTCGTCAACAGCTGCATCTTAATCATGCATGCATCATATGCATAATCATTTATATCAATAGTATAAACCATATGATTGGTACTTCTCTCCTTTTTACTTTACCTACTTATCCATTCCAACAACCTTAACCTTAAGGATACCGACGAAGAATACCGACCTATCTCAATCCTTCCCGTACTTTCAAAGGTATTGGAACATTTTGTTCATCGACGCCTTACTAAATATCTTTATCGTAATGATCTCTTGAGTCAGTATCAGTCTGGTTTTCGTACCGGTCATAGCACGGTTACTGCACTGGTAAAAATTACTGAGGATATTCGACTTAATATTGACAAAAAGAATATTTTAATATTAGTGCTACTTGATTTTACCAGTGCTTTTAATACTGTGGACTTTGATGTACTTCTCGGCATTCTCTCCAAATTTAGATTCTCATCATTGGCTCTGGCATGGTTCCGATCATATCTTTCTGGCCGGCGCCAATTGGTACGTGTGGATGACTGTTGTTCTGACTGGTGCGCGATTAATGCAGGTGTCCCTCAGGGTGGAGTTCTTTCGCCTGTACTTTTCTCAATTTTCATCAACGGAATTACGTCTGCTCTCCTCTCTTCATTTCATTTGTATGCAGACGACATGCAATTATATACTGCTGCTCCCATCTACAACCTTACTAATGCTGTAGATGTAATTAATAATGATTTGAACGTAATTGCTAAGTGGACGAAGGATTTTGGGCTTTTAGTTAACGCAGATAAATCTCAAGCGGTCATTATGGGTAGTTCTCATTTTATTGCTAAACTTCGGTATTTAACGGTTCCCAACGTTATTTATGACGGAAAAATAATCCCATATTCCACTACTGTTAAAAATTTGGGAATTGTTATAGACCAGACACTGTCATGGGGTCCTCATATAGGTGAAGTAAGTCGAAAAATCCACGCATCACTACATTCCTTAAAGCGCCTACAGAACTTCCTCCCTTTAGGAACTAGACTTTTACTGGCTCAATCTCTTCTTCTTCCTCTTCTAGACTATGCTGATGTTGCCTACCTAGATCCCACACAGGAGCTTGTTGATAAACTTGAGCGACTGCAAAATCAATGTATAAGATACATCTATAACCTTCGAAAGTATGACCACATATCTAGTTATCGCAGTCAACTCAAATGGCTTCCTATCAGGCTACGGAGAAATGTCCACATTCTTACTCTTCTTTTCAATATCCTTTTAATACAACATGTCCACATTACCTTCAGGAAAGATTCAAATTTCGCGAAATTGATGTTCGCCTGAGATGCAGTAATGACTTCATTATAGATTTGCCTTGTTTTAATACTCAAAGCTATGCCATGTCATTTACTGTACATGCTGCACGTCTCTGGAATTCACTTCCTAATAACTTAAAGATGGCACAGTCGCTGAAATCTTTTAAAGCAGGTATCATAAAATTTTATTTTGAAAATCCCTCTTCATTGAGCCAATTGTGAATATATGTATTTATTATGTATACATGTATGTGTATGTAGGAGTGTATATATGTATGTGTATGTATGTATATATATGTATATATATATATATGTATATGTATATGTATGTGTGTATATGTGTATATATGTATGTGTATGTGTATAAGTTTTTATTTATTAATGTTATATTATTATTAATTTACTTTTATTATTTACATATGTAGGTATATGGAGCTGTTTTTATTGTGTTATATATTCATTTTTTTTTTTTTTTACTGGGTATTATTTAGTTTATCTTTAATTGTACGGTTATTACCCTTATACATTCTACAGTTTTCTTTCAGCTTCTCAAAGGTTGACTGTAAGAGATCCCTTTATGGGATAAGTCCGCCATTGTATACTAAATCATTTACTAGTATTTAATCTGACTTATGTACAATAAAGATTTTTACAATACAATACAAGGATTAAGGTTTTATACCTGCAACCTCGTGACTCCCAGTGATCGTTTACCATCATACGGGCTGTAAGCTCGTTTGTGCTATAAAAAACTCTGTAATTCTAATAGCCTACCTTTCAAAGTAAAACAAAACCATGCAAGTACACATGCTTGGCCGCAGAATCAGGGGTATTTTAGTCTCCCTTTGATAAAATCTAAAATGATAAACTATTTACACGAGCAATCATTATCTTTTCAGCTGTAACAACACCGCACATGTCATGCGTAAGCAATACGTCGTCATCATCGTCGACGTCAAAACGCAAATGTGACGAGATGTCCGACCCTGAACAGAGTCCACTGAATCACAAGCGTCACAAATATGATGGCAAGATCCGATGTAGACCGCCACTCAGACGGAGTAAGACCTGGGGTGTATCTACTTTAAGGAGTTCACAATCGGCAGAACAACATAGTTTACTCAAAGAGATTTCTACGTGCAACGATGATGTTATGAATCAAAGTTTCTAAAAAAATCTTCAAGTTTGTTTTAAAATACCTTATTTATTTTATTTTAACTGTTTTAGAGTCTACATCTTAATTGTATTGAACAAAAAATAAAATATTGTAAAAGATAATTACTACTTAATTTCAAACCAGTACTAAGTATGCACTTATATGATTAAAAAATATACCCTATTAACATTATTGATATAGATAAAAAAGTGACACACAGTTTGTTATTGTAAATGTAATCGAACTGATAACATTATATTCTTTATCATTTTATAAGAATCTTCAAATATTATAATTAATTAAATAATTAATTATAATATTTGGTATCAATAATTATAAAAAAGATCTGCCAGAAGTTAGTGTGTAAGAATACACATATATTATAGTTTTGTAAACAACTATTTATCTACACTAATATTATAAAGAGGAAAGATTTGATTATTTATTTTTAATGGATAAACTCACAAACTAGTTGAAAATAGGTTTTTTAAAAATTCTTTAGCTATAGAAAGTTATTAATTAGTAAGTGACATAGACTATATATTACTTACTTACTTTTAAATTCTATCTACCCGCGTATCAATAGTAAATCGATATAGCAGATAAATAATTGAGGAAAACCGTGGAACAATGTTAATTGCATTGAAGAAGATCAATTTAATAATACATCGTTTGATTTCGTCCAATGGCAAGATAATATAATCGCAAAAAAATCGTTCATTACAAAAATAATATGGGATCATATTCCTTTTTAATAATGATAGCATAAATAAATTGTCAGCAACGATTCGTAATTGGGGAAAATATTGAATAACATCTTCAAACATAATTATAATCAACTTCTGTTTAAAGCTTATAAAAAGAATGTTTATTTACATATATTTTCCAAAAGAAGTTTTTTCAAATCGTTTGATTGTTTTTTATCTACGTTTTATGAATACGAGTACGTAGCTAGTAGCGTACAGTTCAGATTAAATAATAAAAAAGGCGGCTTGTCTCTAAACAATCTCTTTCAGACAATTAAAATAATTATATTTGGTTACTATATTTGACACATTCCGTTTAAAGTACTTATCTTTATATATATAAAACAATTGCTGTTCATTAGTCAAGACTATTAGTAGTTGTAAGTTTAGCAAACCAAAACTCTAAAACGGCTTGACTAATGTGAATGTTTTTTTGTTTGTTGAAAATATATGAATACCTCTAAAAAATATCATCTGAAAAATCGAAATATTAATAATAGATTAATTTGTATGGAAATTACTATTTCGAATTACTTGTAATAGATGGCGTTGTACTTGAATGAAGTTCACCGGGTCATCTAGTATATTAAAATTTATAAAACCTACTAATTTCAAATATTACATAGTTTGTATATTATCTTTTTTAATAAAATTATCAATCAAAGAAATACACGTCTAACAGTGCTTTCCTATTTTTTTTTTTTTTACTAAACTAGGTGTTATTTTGTGGAAGTCCATATCACGGTTGGTTATTTTATTAGAATTATTTTGTTTAATTCCGCTACAATTAGTATATGTACGGCTGTCAACCCTCAAAGGTTGACTACTATTATTATTACAAGAAGTTCTACATCCTTTCTTATTATATATTTCCGACTGCAATTACGTCCACGAACATTTTGCAACACGTGATTCACTCTAAGTGAAGCATTTTTATAAATAATATTTATAATACCTCCGGATTTAAAGTCACATTATATAATTTATATATTACATTTTTTAACAAAATTATCAAACAAAGAAAGACACGTGTAACGGTGGTAAAGCTAAAATCACTTATGAATGACTGTGCAATATCTGGTTATTACCAGATAACGTCCATAGAACGTGTAGAGAATATCGGAATCGCTCGCGTTTATAAAATTGCAAAATTGTTGAAATCAATATACACAGGTATTGAGTGAACTTGTATTCCAAAAGTTTATTTTGTTTGACTACTCTGTGTTCCGTTTGTGACGGAGAATTTGTCGAATGAAAACGGAAATTGTATTTTGTACTGTATTGTATTGTGGATTGATATTTTGGGGTTTATTTCTCTCAATAATATCTATTAGCTACTGTGTATTTTTTATTCATTCGTTTACAATTAAAATTTATACATTCAATTTTATTAATTTAGATTAAATTAACTTACGACTAATTCAATAATATAATTCGTCATTCATTTTCAATTTTCAATTTTTCATATAAATTTTTAAATGTTTAATGTGCCTAACTTCTCATAATTCATTTCATATGCGCGTATTGGTTCCGGAAACTTGAAAAAATCCAATGAAATCTCATCTTTGCGATAAAATGAAAGAATTTGTTAATTAAAAAAATATATAATTTCTTTTAAAATTTTGATCAGTCAAATTGGTTCCTAAATTTTACGTCCAAAATTTAATAAAAATAACATTTCAATGAGCCAAATTTATTCTAGTATTTTATTGGGCTTGTAATATAACGAGACGTATTCAAAGTTAGCGAAATAAAAGTAATGTATAGGTAATACATTATTTTTATTTCGGTAAGTTCGAATAACCACGGAATTTCCTGCTGATTCGTCGTAGTAGTCAAATAGTAACAATATTACTGTATCGAACCTTCCGAAACTGCAGTTATTTATTTATTTCTTATTAACCATATTACAAAAAAATCATTCTCTCCCAGCCAAACTTTATTTTCCAATTTATATAAATTGAAAAAAAAAACTTAACATTAGAAACAATGTGTAATGTAAAGATATTTTAGTGATAATACAAGATTGATAAATTGCAAAATGATAATGATGGTTAGACTGCCTTATATCATGGATTGCCTTCTTATTGCAGACTACAAGCTTATCTTTACAAGAGAAATAAACGATATGCCAAATAGTTTGATATACATTTTTATTTTCTGTTGTCCTTCTTTTGCATACAAATGCAATACATGTAGGTGTGTTTAATTCTCTCAATCGCCTTTTACAGCATCTTGAGAATAAAAGAGTAGTAATATATTTTTTACTCTTATCTTTCTTAAAAGGAAATTATAGACTTACTTCAAAAAATTATTAGTAAAAAGACATAAAAATATATACAATCTATTTACAAAATTATATAACTTGATGCAGAGATCAAAGCAGTCTTGGCTGATTGGACTAGTGCCAAGAACATTAAATACATTTACTTGCTAGGTTACAGTGACAATCCATCGCAAGAGAAACCAGAACCAGTCTGATGTCTTCTTTGTGACGGTGTAGATTTTAAATAATAAAATCTCTTTGAAAAAAATCTTCATAAAAGAGGCCCACTATCCCACTAACTTGAAGAAAAGGGACGCACTTACAATGGCCGATACTATTTACTCGTTAGTATATTTTTAATAGATAACATTTTAATGGCAAATCCGCCTGCGCTATCAGTATACCTACATTGGCGTGGCGCCAGTAAAAGATGATAGGTGAGGATGAAAGCAGGTCAATTAGGTCAATTGACCTGCTAACAATCATTCGTCGCAAATTTATTAAACATTAAACACGATGGTTTTCAAAGAGGACAGGGTCTGCTCATCCCCGTAACCAACAATCCTTGGGGTGAAAGTGATTGTTAGTAATGGAGACTGAGAATCCCATTGCTAGCAATATATCCAACCAGGTCGACCTCCTCGCGGTTCTCCCTGGAAACTATCATGGTTAATTCCTGATGAATTCATCATGATGGGCTAAGTGGCCTGTTTTCATTCTCATCTGTCACCCTTCACTGGTGCTCCGCCAGCGTATCCTGTTAGCGCAGGCGGGGTTACCATACCATTTTCATCTATAAAAAAAAACCAACAATCCTTTCCCACCGTTTAGTATTAGTAATAAATTCTGTAATGTATTTTACATACGTGTGATACATAAAATGACCCCAATAATATCTGATTCGCAGGACACGAAGTTGGTGCAAATTTTCTTATATTATTATTGGTTGAAACACCGCGATATTCTAAGCACGCGCGATGCAGCACGTGACAGTATTATTTCAAATTCAAAGGGTAAAAAGCAGAGGCTGTATTAAAAAGGATGGCTCTCTTGTAATAGAAGCCAGGCACGGAATGACGCTACTTCATTGCGATTGGCGGTCGCAATGGGAATAAGGCCTTACAGCGTTATGTCTGCGTGGGCACTGATTGTTCGTGCGTCGACTCAGAGCTTCTTTTCGGTCGAAAATATTTTTATTACTTGTTGCAATAATACATTATGGAACTAACAAATGTTGAATACGAAAAATGCTTAAGTGATATAGTATTGTGGTCTAGGCTTGAGCAAATATCTCATTCGTTCCCTTGGAAGTCATTATTTTAGATTTTGATTCGTGATTTGCTTGTTCTTATAACGTTCTATTAATGTTGACAATCGTAATGTAAATAAAACTATAGCAATATAAACTATACAATACTTCATCCTCGTGACTGAAAGATAGCCTATGTCATTTTTTATCTAAATTATTACGTCTATACATAATTTTATAACGATTAGTTCAGAAATAACAAACGATCAGACTCACTTTTATAATATTGTAAGTTTATAAATAATTCTTATAAACCACATTATAGATTATTTTATGAATTGACAATGCAAAAGTGACCTCGCCAGTGCTATCGATATATGCTGGTGGAGTACCAGTGAGGGCCCTTACCCATTAGGTAAGGAAAAGGAAAAGGCAGTTTAGTTGGTGTATCGTGACAAATTCAACATGAGTTAATCACGATAGTTTCCAGGAAGAACCGCACAGAGAACAACCTGATAGGGTATATTGCTTGCGATTGTGCTGTTACCATCCATTACTAACAAATCTTTCCTCTCATATATCTCTATCAAAGACATTGCTATACAATCAAGGCAATGTAGAAAGTCTTGACACTAGAGGGCACATAATAATAATAGGTATTATGTTAATGCTGCGCGATTGAAATATCTATGGATGAGTACATATAACATTACTATATTAAGTAATATATGAGTAGACAAATTCATAACATACTGGTGTAAAGTACAAATAACTTGAGATGTCTCCTCAAGACAATGTAAATTGTGATGCTTTGAGTATTTGATCCCCGAAACTTGATAACCGCAACATTATGATCATGAT